AACATAGGTGTTTACAAAAAACTGTTAAAATCTATACTAGAGGAAGAGAAATGGGTACAAGAAATTTGCAGGTTTTACTAAGTACTCCAGCAACCAATACACACATGGATGTTCACACATACATACATACACATACACACTCCCTGTCCTGAACTTCAAGCAGTCGTCCAATGATTACTTTTTCTTACATTTCTCCTAGTTTTCACTTCTCATGGGCCATGCTCTAGTTTTGAACTCTGTGTTGTCTCCCCAACAGCATGCTGCAATTAATACCTTAATAGTTCTAAAAATTTCTCCTTGATTGCACAGACAGACCTCTCAGACCATGTTTAGGACGGAATCTACAGCACCAACTGTGTGCCTTCCCATTTCTTATTCTATGTCTCAAGCGATTTCTTGGCATTCTATTAGAAACTCTTGCTTGGGCACACTCTCTCTCTTTAAGGAAATTATACTGGTTGAATTTAAGTCCCAGCTTTCCAACACTTGTATAAATGGTATTTTGAAGGCATAATGCCCACAAGATTCGGGGGAAATAGGGTATTGATGGATAATAAATAAGTATGGGTGGGCAACTATTCCAATAGGACTGCTGTTCTTATAAGAGGATGTCCATATGAAACAGAGACCCACAGGGAAACCTCCACGTGATGAAAAAGGCCATTATAGTTATGCAGCCACAAGTAAATCCATGGTGAGGATTAGGAGCAAACATCCAGAGAGATCATGAAGGAAATTCCTAAGGGTTTCTGAGGCATCACAGCCATGCTAACACAATTACTCCTGATGGGAGAGACAACAGATTTCTAGTGGTTTAGGACAGTTCATGGCAATTTGTTACAGCAGCCCTAGCAAACTAACACAGGAACCACACGAAAAGGCAGACATCTGTTCCAAAAAGCCTCTTGATGAGTAAGAGTTGATTTTGTACAAATAATAAATATAAATTCAAGAAACTGATCATCTAATACTCATGAGTAATACTCTCACTTAATGAGAAATGGATTGTTTTCTGCTTTGATGTGAATATTGAAATGCATTTTAAAAATGTAAAAATTTCCAGGATTCTTTGTATTAGAGAATGTGGCAGTCACCTCTGGGCCCCTGCTGCTCCCTGGTGGGTGTGGCTTAGAGCTTACCTGCCCAGGTCCTTAGGCACAGATTCCAGGCCTATACTTGGAACATGACCTGACATGACCGGAAGGTCATGGGAAACGGACACAGCTTATAGCCAATTACAGTGTCTCTGGTGGGTGGGGGGGCTTGCCAGAAGACGCCTTCCTGCCCTGCCCTTCCTTAACCTTAAAAACCCTGGAATTTGTGTAAACGGACATTCACCAGCTTGTCTCCAGTAGTTCTTTGGCTGAAGAATACTGCCGCCTCACGCTAGGTGACCTCAGGTCCTGCTGCAGGTTTAAACCCCGCCCCCCGAGAAGTCTTTATTTCTAATTTATTTACAATTCTTGCTTTGGAGACAGAGGAGGATAAAAATCCCTTCTTGGCATTTCTAGAGATGACACAATTTGTTGATCTTCTGACTTTTAAATTAAAAACATAGTAATTGAGTTTTAATATCAAGCATGCTATCAAAATCAGACTAAATTCTAACTGAAAGTGTTGTTTTAATCTAACATGATGCTGCATCACAATAAATGTAGGAGTTGCTTTCATTCATAGACACAAATGTGAAACTGTCTTGAGGTGGATTCAGTTTTGTTCCTATTTACTGAATTTTCTGTTTATTCTTGGTTTATTTTTTGTCCCTTTGTGCATGTGCATGTCTATTTTAAATTTAGTCTGTCACTTTGCTAACAGCTTTATCTGGCTTCAAAAATAAATGGCAAGTGTGATTCGTCACAGGAGTTAACACTTTTAAGATCTGATAGAACTAACTTGTGAAACACCTTGCTGAGAAAGCTGTTGAATTTAGTTGTCAATTTTTCCCAATGCTTTTGATTCACACTGCTTTCCTTTTCTTGTGCCAACATTGATAATTTGCTATAAAAGCATTTCTATTACTATGATTTTCATGTAAATTACTGTTACTTAAGAGTCTGCATGCCTATTTTTTAGCAATTTTTCTCATTCCGATATTGTACATTTCCAATTTTTCCATTTGGTCGTGTATTATAGTTGCCTGGAGGTAATACTTGCTAAATATTATTCCTAACAAGCCAATTTTTTATCTTCACCTAAAACAATGTTCAGATATGTTATTTATATGTGCTATCTAAATTTCTGAAATATAAAGATAAAATCACAAGGATTAATTTAAGAGTTACAGCTGACCTCCTTGAATTACTCATTCCTCACTTCAATAATTACTACTTTAATGTTAAATAATGACACATTTTTAGATTACGGCTCCTAATAAAGCCTACAAATAATACTTTTCCAATAATGCAAAAAAACAAATAAGCATATGGATGCAAAGCACTTTCTTAAAATATAGGTTACTGACTAAATGCTACATAGACGATTTAACAGAAGTTTATGATTTCCGAAATTCTATAAAATTCATTAACAAATGTAAGTATTTCATGACAGTTAATAGGAATAGGTTTGTTAGTTTCAGGCTTCTGCCAAAAAAGTATCTCCAAGAGACAATGCCATAACTGATGTTAGGAAAGATGATGAATGCCTACCATCTCCACAAAAGAATATGGTCAGGCTACATTTACTGGAAAGGGTGACCAAGGGAAATTACTTTAGGAGTTGAAATATACAAAAAGAAACAGTTTCTTTATGTTAGGAAAGATCATAGAGTAAAGACAGCATATATATCTGAAATGTATAACTGGCAATTTTTCAAAGACCTCTAAACTATTCTCCAATACACTCTTCTTTGTTCTTCCTAATTTTATAAGTAGATAAAAGTACTCTTACGTACATGGGATATCAAATACATGCATAATATTCAGGGTTGTAAAAGATTCATGATTTATTATTAATTTATTTTATTATTAAAATTCACCGAATTATTCACCCACATTGAAACATCATTATTGGGTGTCATAATTCTGCCAATTACATGGGTTACACAATCCAATACTTCCATGTCACCGCAGAAGTTTTGTGGAAATTAAACTTTCTAATTAAACCAAGAATTCAACATAGCTTAAAAACATGTGATAATATTAAATGTTGGGGGAGAGAGAACAGTACATGACATTTTTTTATATGCTCTATTGCCTACAATTAGCAGGAAAAATGAATCTTTTTAGCAACCACTTATCCAGCATGGATTTTTTCACTAGGTTTTGAAGCTGTCTATCTGCCTCCAAGGTTTTGTTAGTTGGAAAATAGAATTTTTCTGAGCAAGTTTCTGATTTCAGTAAAGAATAAGCCTGGATAAATACATCTTCCTTTCCCTTTGATTCCTTACCAAAAAATACTACCAAAAGGTAATCAATTAGTTAACCAAGAGCTGTAGTTAAAGGACAGAAAAGCAAACTCATTGAAAAGGTATTCAATAAATTCAATGGTGGTCCATTTCAGATTCTTCCACAAAGTTAACAGGAAATAGGCCCCAGTATAAAACTCTTGTCATATAATAGAGGCAAAGGTCTCCTTAGTAGAAAGTCAGAGAAAAAAAACTAAACAACTTGTATGAAAATGTATTTAAAAAAACTGAGAAGGTTTTTAATCATGAAATAAATACCTTTACTAAGTAATACTGTTCAGATAAAGAGGGCATAGCATTTGGAGAAGATTAATGTCCATCAAGTAAAAAGAAGACACAAATTCAAATAGCTTCAGAAAAGTAGACAGTAATAGTTATGGTGAGGCATGTAACATGGCAGAGAATGGAATGAAGGGAAGGGATAAACTAGAGAGGGTGTGCTCCACGTGAAGGAATTGAAGGGAAAAAAGAAAGAGGGGGAAGATGGAGGGATGGGAAAGAGAGAGAGAGAAAATAAAAAGGAAAAAAGAATAAGAGAGGAAGGAAGGAAGGAAAGAAAGAAAGAAGGAAAGAAGGAGGGAGGGAGGAGGCAGAGAGGGGGAAACAAAGGGAATGGTAAGGGAGGTTGTGGGGGGGAGGGAGGGAGGGAGGGAGAGAGAGAGGAGGGAGGGAAGACACTGTTCAAAGCAACATAAAATACAGCCACTGACCTAAGTCAAACCACAAGCTGCCAGGTCTACTACGCCAATGGTCAAGTCTAGGACTAGGTCAGAGTCCAAGTATGTGTACGGACAGAACATTAAAGTCCACTCAGGGTAATTCTCCTTACATATCTAATTTTCTTTTGTCTGCATATTTTTACTTAAAAAAATACTAAACTTCAGATTAAGCCAATCAAAACATTTAGGAATCCAGAGCTTAAGTACTTACAAAAAAACATGATTACAAAATTAATTTGGTACAGAGAATTCACAGACGCAAGAAGTAGCAGTAGGCACTTTATTATTGTCTGAGATGTCTGTCTTCTTCTAATGTTCTCCTCTGAGATACAGAGATAGCAAGCTGTGCTTGTTCACTCTCTCGATGCCTGTGATGGCTGAAGGTAGAGCCAGGAACTGTGATGACAAACGAGCCCTTGTACGTAGCAGCAACAACATCACCTCTGTGGCACTCTCATCAACTCCCCCAGTTCAGCACTTGATTTTATGTACGTTGACAAAATTAAATTTTTAATGAGGACAAGACTCTATTGCTATTAATCATTAAATCATTCATTGTGCAAATATCATACACAGGTATTTACTTTATAAGTCTATCTCACTATTAAGAGAGCACATTTTAAAAAAAGCATTTAATCCATCTTTGTTTTAACAGGGCATATTCAAAAAAAGTTCAGCCATAATCAATGCACAGTAATATTGATGATGTAGTTAAAAACACAGAAATCACAAATCACTAGTCTCAGCTGCATGATTAATGAAGAGACCATTTCAGAAAAAGAGCTATCATCATCTCCATTTCTTGAAGTCAAATCAATAGCACCTCACCCTGCAGGTGTCAAAGATGAACTGAACCAAAGAAAGGAAGCCATACTCACAAATTATAAAGCATGTCAGCCATGTTGCTACGGTAGTACAAAGCATTTCTATAGGCGCTTTCAGCTTCAGAAATTTTGCTTTGACTCTTCAGAACATTTCCAAGGTTACCCCATGCTGTCAAGAAGAAACACAAGTATTCAAGCAGAGCATCAATCCAATTATACGGGACATAATATCAGGCCATCAGGAAACACCACGGGTAGAGAAAGGCTCCGTAAAACATTTTGAGAAAGGAAAATTTACTTTCTTTATACTTTAACATTTCATCAAATCAACAGAATAAATACAATCAAAAGCCTTAAAAAAAAACTGAGACAACTATTACATCTCAACACTGATATACATACAGTTTATCATGATGCCAAGAACATGCTATCTTAAACCACCTACAAAGACTTCAGGCTCCTTCAGGTATCAGAAGGAGTCTCACTGGTCTGAAATTACTGTGTATTTACTGGGCCAGAAACTGTAAGAAATCATCTTAAATTAAAGATTTCCTTCAAGTATGAACTGATAAATGGCATAGAATATCTGTAAATAAAAGCAAAATGAAATAAAAACTGAACAAGATCAAAGCTATGAGGAGCCAAAACAGATATCAGAATGTAACTGTAAAATGGGCTTCTTCAAGCAGTTAAATGTATATACTACACTCAGATACAGTGTTCCTTTAAAGTATTCTTACCAATAGATTCACTTCCAGGAAATTGAGAATCTCTATACATAATCATACTGAAAATTATGTATTTACTATCTACCCTTTATCTTCTTCTCAAGCAGATGTCATCTGCAACACTGCTTATATAAACACTGGAAAGCCTCCACTGACTGCACCTGAAGAACAAGAAGCTTTTGAATTACCAATTTTAGTTCATAGGAAAAGTACAAGATCTTTCTATTATAGATTTGCCTATATGCCTGTAAATAACTTAAAAGTCCTGTGATTTTTAATAGGTAATCCAAAGAATTGGGAAACATTTAGTCTCTCCTGGGATTTTTGATGAGGATTGTAATATTGGTAAGATTTTTAAGAAAGTCTAAAACACTTAAATAACTCAATATTTGCCATTTCATTTTAATTTTGGTTAATGTTCTTCACAATTTGTAGCAATCAAACATGGCTTATATAAATTAAAAACAGTATAATGAAATGTACACCCTTATTTGATCTAAAAGCATATTCATATTTCATATTTGGAAATCCATAAACCTCCCTTTCCTTAAAAAAGTAGAGTAGAGCAAGAGTGCTTAAATTCTTATCCAACATCTAATTATATCCCCACCTCACCACATACTTCTCATGCATCATGCTGTTGAGCTTTCAAGAGTCATGAACATACACATTATGACCACTCTGTGGATGAGGAAATTGATTTAGAAGTACTGCAGAATCTGCCAAGTTAACATCCTAAAGTACTGGGTCACAATTGTAAAGTTTGCTACTTCAAACTTTTTCTACCTTCTACCAAATATCTGCATACCGTGTTCTATCCTTCATGGTGAACTAACATCTACTTACTACTATGAATCTGAACTGGACACACAATGCATAGAAAACAATCTATCTTTAAATTTCACAATAGACTGGTTAGTTATGAACACTGTCAAACTGAACTATTAAAACAAAACTGGAAATGAAGAGGAAAAGCAAATACAAAAATAATTTTTAATGATCATCAAACTTAATAGGGACATACATGGTATTTACCAACTATTTCTTTCAAATTAGTAAGTTTGGCTCTACGAGAAGTTCTAACACTCTATCTTTTTGCTTTCCCACATCCACCAAAGTCCTGCTTTGCTTGTAGGATCAGTATATGAGAACACAGTTAACTTGGAATTACTCCAAAGAAACATACTCCAATAATCACTTAAACACAAGGAAAGCATTAGGTTATACCAGTGAAATCAGTCTTGCAACACAGAAGCCAGAAAAAGTCCTATAAACACGACTTACTTTCAATATTTAAAGCATATTAGCAGGCAAATTCATCTCCTTTAGATGCTTGAATCTTAAATAAAATTCAAAGTATCCAGTACAAGTCCTCTTGATGGCAAAGGAAATGTAGCTATGCCCATAATGTATGCTCACACATTTGATTTGCTTGTTTATTTATTAGCAAACTTATTTTTTCACAAAGTGGGTATCTGTTTAATGCCTCAGCGCCAAGCATGTTGTTACAAGCTGGGCAGGCAACACTACCTGCAACAGGCAAATTCTCATCCCTCACGATGCTCCACTGGAAGTGGGGATGCTGCGAGGAAAGGTGGAGTCGCAAAACACGGTGAGGTGATGTGAATGGCACTGATCTTAACTGACACCACAGAAATCAATACGCAGATGTGATCCCCCAAGAACTAAAGCACAAAGGACCTTACACAGTTTGCTGATTCCAGCTAAGAGACAGACGGCAAAGAATCAAAAGCATGAATAAATTTGTACTTTTCCAGAAACAAGAAGACCCACCAGAGGAGTGGCTGCAAAATGGAAGGGAAAGTCCAGATGACATCACAGAGGCCTCCCCAGGGTCTTGTAGGCTGCAATGTGATGGCTGGGGCTACATTTTATTTACAGTATTGCAGCACATTTTCATCAAGGGGTTTATAGGATACAATACACATTTTCAAAAAGATCACTCCTGATCCTCATGTAGTGTTCATTGAAAGTGAACAAAAGTAACAATCCTGGAACCAGTTAGAAGGCAACTCCAGTAATTCAGTGAGAAAGATAAGGGTGGTTCCCAACAGCAGAATGCATAGATAGATATCAGGGGAAATTGTTACAGTGATAAGATAACTTAGGAACTAAAAGTCATTGGCAAGGTTGACTCTGGAAGCTAAGACATCTGTTTTATTATTGTATCAACTGCCAGGAAATCTTTTGGAAAGGAAAGAAAATCCCCAACTAAGCATGCATGTTTCTTGAGAATTCTGACTGCTGGTGGTTGAGTAAATAGCCCTTCAGAAAGCACGCAGCCATCACTTACCATCAGCTCATGGTGTTCTACTGGACATCACGATCGTACAGAACACCTGCTCCAGAGATTACCAAGAGCACGAGAAAACAAACCATGAACATTTCACAATTTGATGTAAACATGAAGATCATTGTAGAATTCAAAAAATATCCAACACTTTCCACTTTTTCTAAGTGAATCATTTCTTTACCTAGCTGCACAGTTGCCACAGGGTCCAATCTGTAGGAATCCCTTCCCTCTTTGACACTCTCCTAAAACATCTATTCAAATCCCGTAATACGGCACAGAGTAAGACTCTTGTGCTCTCTATACCCAAGAAATAACTAAGCCAACATTTTACTCCAAGTGTGTTCTGGTGACTGGGTGTAACACAGACAAAAAAAGCACTTAATTATACTAAAATAGAAAAACTATTCCTTTTCATGATCCCAACTTGCTCAATTGTTTCTCAGTGCTGTCTGTGAAAAGAAGACTTTAGATTTCTGAAGAGCTACTAAAACTACAACTGTCACATAAGTTTTTGCATGAATCTAAAAATGTTACTCAGTATACTCAACTATAAATACTATTTTATCAATGCTATCAATAAGTAATAATATAATGTTCAGAAAGGTATATACATATCCATCATAATGATTTTAAATTTAAAAATCCTATCAGTAATAAATAAACAGCAATTAAAACTAAAGTGAGGAAATTCAGTGCACTTGAAAAACCATTTGAAATGCATCCACCTTATGTTCACAATATTAAAAAGGAAAATACATGAAAATATAAAAAGTGCATCTTGGGCCCTGTGCAATAGCATAGTGGTTAAAGTCCTTGCCTTTAATCCACATGGTTAAAGGATCCCATATGGGCACCAGTCCATTTCTCGGTTGTTTCACTTCCCATCCAGCTCCTGTGGCCTGGGAAAGCAGTCAAGGATGGCTCAAAGCCTTGGGATCCTGCTCCCACATGGGAGACCTGGAAGAAGTTCCTAGCTCCTGGCTCCGGATCGGCACAGCACCGGCCATTGCAGTCACCTGGGGAGTGAATCATCAGGCGGAACATCTTCCTCTCTCTCCTCCTCTCAGTATATCTGACTTTGTAATAAAAAAATAAATAAATCTTTTTTTTAAAAAGTGCATCTTCACTAGGCTAACATGATTATTCCACTTCCCTGTAATCAGCCTACACAATTCATCAATATAGCTGTTTCTAAAGTTTAACTCTTTCCTAACCCTAGAAATTTCTGCTTATATTAACCAAGTCCATTTTGATGGCCTATTGAAATCTAACTATTTTGGGTTTTTGACAATATCTAAACCAAACCCTTAAAGAAATGTCCAAACATCCAAATGTGCATGAATGGAAAATCTATATAAAATCAGACTATTTGTAAGTTTAATTTACAAATTCTATTCTAATGAACATATTAGCACTGGAAACTTAAAAAAAAACTGTATATTTTTGAAATGTATTAATCACACATAATAATAAACTCCAGATATTTAAAATGGTAAATGTAAAACAATTAATGCCAAAAAAAGTTTAACTGAGTATCTCTATGGAACATCAAAGGACGACTGATGTAACTCAAAAGATAAAAAAAAAAACTAATGGTTTAGGACTTCAAAACTAAAAGGACGACATTTCAAACTTCGACAGAAAAAGGACCCCTACCACTAAGACATTTGAATCAAACATTTCATTACATGTTATCTCAGGTGAGAATTTTGTTAACAGTGGGGTTGCTGGTATGACATAGCCTTGACTTTATCAGTTAAACTGATTGCATTGAGTGAGATCAGATGCATGACATGTCTACCGGACATCACTGTCACTCATTGCACAAGGGATTTCTCTCGTCAAGAGTGTCCTCGGGACTAGGACTTAGCAGTTTACAAATATTTGCCAATTGTGCTGTAAAACAGATCCTCATTAGTGTAGTCTGTGATTCTCTCAATCGCAAAGGAATTTGAGTATTAGTGGTATATTCCTAGTATTCATTTTGGTATCCTTTTGCATAGTCCTTGTTCGTGCTTTTACCCATTTTTCTTGGAGTTGGATTTCTGATTTTTCCTGATTCAAATGTCTTAGTGATAGCAACAGTGATAAATATTCAATGTGTCATGGGAATACCTCAGGGGACAT